TGATATCGCAAGCGAGACAGAACTTGGATATACATTCTTTCTGGAAGATCGCACAGTTTATGTGACACCCAATGCATTGATTCGGAGGCTAGCGTACATCAACGCAAATGCAAACAACATAGCGGGATATGTATTGATGGTGAAACACGTGTGGAGGAGGAAGAATGACTTGATGAGGCCCAAGATGGACCCCTGAACAATATGACCCAAAGAGAATGTCACATAAGATAGACTCTAAACATCTATGAGACTATCAAAATGCCCCGATGAGGGATGATGACTGAGACAAATTGGATTCACCACCAGCAGCAGGTTGCATACAGTTTTGATCGTGATCAAGCATACATGAAGATTCTAAAGCAGCACAAGAGAATCAATAGGCGAGCAAAAGAGCAACCAAAGGCAATCACCTGGAGACCCAGATACAGATGGTGAATAGGGATTACAGACATGATTCTCATCTTCTCGCCCGACCACGTGCCACGCAAAAATGCAAGCAATACCAATTAGAACATCAGAATCAAGACTGGGCAGAATCTCGAACTCGACATCGGTTCATAGGAAGCAGTAAGAATTTCAGTGAACCAGGAACCTGGGCTGGAACGACCAAGCAACTGAGCAATCGAAGCATTTATAAAACAACTTGGTGATACTAGATCAAACATGATAGAGACAGGAAGATGACTGAGGAACATAATCATAGTACTATGTTCCTGTACATCATAACTCGTGTTTCACATGATCTGAAATGAGTGTAGCATAATGTGTTTCTAGCCATGTTCAATGAGGAATGGGTCAGTAAGGAATGAGCTGCCACTCCTGCCGACCCCGACATTGATATGGATGTAAGTTATGACCTCAGGTGGGATGCTGAACCTGAGCCAGGCGGTGTTGACTTAGAGGCCGGTTATGACCTAGGGTGGGATTATGCACCCGATGGTGGTGATTATGACCTTGGGTGGGGTTTTGCACCCGATGGTAATGATGTATCTTCAGGTGAGGTGCTCCAAGAGTCTGTAGGAGTTGACCTCAGATGGGAAGCACCCACTGTGGATGCCTTGGATTCAAGATGTGCGATGATGGCATTGTCATGTAAGGTTGTTTTTGCCTTGATCATATATTTGCTGACCTTCGGAAGCAGACTCTACCATCAATGTTGACAATGAATATGATCTTGGGTGAGATGTTGTATCCAAGGATCAAAGCTGCAACTGTAAGTTTTTCATATCTCATATTATAATTATAATTATGATGAAGGTCTCTCAGCTATCGACATCGACGAGGTTTATGACCTCGGGTGGAATGACACTGCTACTGTGGATCGCGTGGAAGATCAGCAGGTGCAATCTGATTTGATTCCACTGAGCTCCAGCTCCAACTTTGTGGGAGATGAGGATTCAAATGCCTCTGCAGGTGTGATGAGTTCTAATGCCCAGCTGGGACCATCAAATCATACACCCAATGTCCTTCATCAAGCAGAAGCCGCCATGGCTCATGCCCTCCGGAGGTTGAATGCTGTGGGTCACACCAACGGTGAGTGAGATTTCATATGAAGATGATTATGACTGATCTATCCAACTCAAGATGATGAACAAATGCATTGCATTATGCAAACCGCAGTTGACAGCCTCGGAAGATCTTATGCTCCCTCGAAGGTGAGGAGAGCAAATTCATGGTTGTTCGGCGCATACAGCGAGGCGAGGAATCAGGTGACCGAGGTGGGAGAAGACATTCTCTCAATCACCTGACTGCTACATCTCTACAATGGGATAATGGATCTGCTGGAAATTTTGGTGAAGGACCTCGAAAAATTGGAGAGCACACAGTGATTATACATAGATATAATTATGCTCTCATTGTAAGATAGTGTGATTTTATGTACCAACTCTCAATATGTCATAGTTAATGTCGTGTTGCTTTGCAAGTTCGTTTGGCTGGTGCCAGTGTCTTCATCTGACTTCTTGTGCATTTCGCAGGAGATGCATCTCCTGCATCCATTGGATCAGGATCTGCTCTAGCTCTCTTTTTATTTGGGCCTGGCTTATTCTGTGTTGGCACAGGTGCAGGCCTCTGACCCGATGGCGCCGGAGCTGATGCAGACTCAGTAGAGTTTGGGAGGATGGCTGAGGCACCCTCTTTGTCACTGGACTGCTGAACATGACCTCAGTGTGATGTTTCACCAGTACGAGAAGCAGGTCCAATCTTGCGAGCAGGATTCTGCTTCACCTGTTGATTCTCCAACACCCGTGGTTTCTTCACTGGAGGTTTCACCTTCTCTTGAGGTTCTTCAACTTCCAAATCTTCTGATGAGTCTTCATGCTGGCATTTCTTGCGAGCTGCTGAGACATGATGCATTGGCTGTTTTTCCTTGTGCTTCACTTTGACAAGCAACCTGTGAGGCTCATCATTGTTAGAGTCTGCCTCCAAATCTTCCCAGGATTCTTCAACAACATCATGTGTCTTTCTGACTTGCACCTGGTGCTGCGATACTTTCTGGACAGGTCTGTCATCATCTGTGCTACCAGTGGAATTGTCATCCATTTGATGTGATCGATTCTTCTCCCGGGACAATTTCCTTGTGGACTTTTTGGTCTTCTTCACTTTTGATGATCTAACAGTTGATTCCTCTTCAGTGTCTGACTCTACCACTCTCACAGGAGGCTCCACCCGATCCTTGCACCACCACCCGTTGAATTTCAGAGTGGGACCATCTGATGACTCCTGTCGGTTATACCAGAATTCGAGCAAGGCTGTGGCTTCCTCCCGGTTCATCCTCGAGGGCTCCCGAATTTTTGTGCCATCAGGTAGGTACTTTCTTGGTGGCATCTTGTCTTGTCGGGATGATAGTTCTTTCCATGGAACCAAATCTTTCGGTCTCCCAGAGCACACTGCTGTGTTGAATTTCAGATGTCAGATTTATAAGGGCATGCAAGTCACCTACCGTAATGCCAATTTAAATATGCTCGGACCACCACCTTTCTGGTTCCAGAGTCCATTTTGTCATAGTTCAGGAGGACGGGGACACTGCTGTCTCCTATGTCCAGTATGTATGTGTTATCCTTCCTCCCGGCCTTATGCACCACACAATCATCTTCGCCATCACCATCTACTGGCAGCACATAAGTCAGAAGTAAATCATCTACCGAGATTGATGAACATTTCTTACCAAACAATTTCATCACATATGGCTCCCACTCGGGCAATATGACCTGCCAGTCACAGGTCTTTGTGAAACTTTCCGCCCCACCGAACTCATTGTTATAGTCATGGCTTTCAGGACATGAGACGTGTCTTGTTCGGGCGATGAAACTCCACTCACCCAGTCACCAACAGCTTGCCCTCTTCTGTCTTCCTCGCAGCCAATACAAACACCCTCATTCCAGCCCATTTGTACATCTCACTGGCGAAGTGGTGGACCATGCCCTCACTTTTCTTTTTGGCGATGTCTATCTGCACCTCAGGAGGAACACCCTGACTGTTCCACTCTTCTGCCATCTTGACGGCCTCCTGAATTTCTTCCTCTGTCAAAGACTCTATCAACACGCTCAAATACTTCGAATAATGCTGGATCATTTCTGTTGATCCCGGTTTTACCCCCGTGTCATCCTGTATCTTTTTCAACAGCTCCCATTTCCGGAGTGTGTCGATGACCCAACAATAAGTCCACCTCCTCCCTATGTTAATGTGGGGGGTTTGTGGTCCTGCTTCCTGCCTCCGTGATTGCAAAACCAATTTTAGTACACCTGAAAGATGCGAGGGATGAAATTGTTGTGTTGAGTCTGATGAAGGTGGGTTATGTGAATGAAGGAAATTGGAATATGCAACAGAATAATAAAGGAATGCACTCCTAGGGGCACAGCTCAGCTGGTGGAATGGAAGCCTAAGAAAACCACCTGAGGTCTCAAACCCAGGTGGGTACCGGTTAAACAGACTCAACCAAGCAAGTCTGTTTCGTCCTTGCCAACAAAATCTCCAACCAAGCAAGGTTCAGACATGATGCATCATCAATTGTTCCCAGACTACAATGTCAATTTTGAGCACGAGGGGCAAGGGCCCATTCCATTCTCAAATATGAAGAGGCAGAGGAAGAAAACAAAGGCAAGTCTGTTCCCACATCTCCATCCCCATCAACTGGTTTCAGGCTGATGCCATCATCCCAGGGTCCAAACAACTACCTCAGGGAGTGGAAACAAAGGACTGAGGATCATCTGGATATGTTCATGGCAAGGGAGGCTCCTCATTCAGACAGGGTGTGTTTGTTGTGCGACCGAGACAGAGCTTATAGGTGTCATGACTGTTTTTCCAAGCCAATCTTCTGCAGTGAGTGCTGCTGAACACAGCATGTCTGACTGCCATTTCATAAGACTAGTTGATGGAATGGAGACTTCTTCGAGGAGAGCTCATTGACGAGATTGGGCATGGAGTACTATCTCAGCCACAGGGGACTCCCATGCCCGATGAACGTGGGAGGGCCTGAAGAGATCCATTGGGAGAAAAAGGATGTCTTTGACAATGATTCGGTGGATATGCCAGTAGTCGAGGAATTTACTAATGATGAGGACGCCTCTTCCACCAATGGTATGTCAGGACACAAGGGAATACCCGTCGTCGGGTGCATCGCACGGGTAACGGTAGTTGACATCACGGGCATACATTATCTCATAATCTGTTTCTGCCAATGCACCGATGCTCCCGATGCAGAGAAACAGTTGTTTCAAATGGGTTTGTTCCCAGCCTCTTTCACCTGGCCTAGGACCACATTCACATTTGCCTTGCTGAACGATTTTGCGCCCCCTGGGATCAATGTTGTGCTGCCAACAGAATACAATGAAAGGAAGCCAAGATGGCTGTACAGCTGCTCATTGGTCATGGATGGAAATTTCAAAGCTGAGCATCTCCACCTGACAAATCCGGACTATGAAGTTTGGCTCATAGACGGCCTTAGGTTCTTGGTTGGTAGAAGACGGTACAAGGCTCACTAGGCTGTAGCAACGGATTCAATGCAAAGGTCCGAGTGCAACAACCACAGGGCGGTGAATCAGGCCAATGCATCTCGGCACAAACTGGAAGCTACAAGCATCGGTGGATGTGTGTGTACCAGACACAGATGCTTTGTCCCTCATTCCATGGTATATTTTCAAAAGGGTGAGAGGTGAGACCTCCTGAGAATGACTTTGTTCACAATGGCTGACCTTCGGGACGAGGCAAATGAACATGGACTACGTGCTTTGCAATGCTCTCGGGTACAACACTGAAGGATTGGAAACTGCTTTGACATTTTATGACATGAATTGCCAGTACAACAAATATCTATTGCATGGGGTCAAGGAGAGCCCATATCTGGCAATCCCATTTGGAATGGAGATCATCCCGGGAATAGGTCTTTGGCATGTGCATGGTCATGCATCGCACGGGTAACGGTAGTTGACATCACGGGCATACATTATCTCATAATCTGTTTCTGCCAATGCACCGATGCTCCCGATGCGAAGCGAAACAGTTGTTTCAAATGGGTTTGTTCCCCAGCCTCCTTTCACTCTTGGCCTAGGACCACCTTCACATGTGCCTTGCTGAACGCATTTTGAACCTTGTGACACTTGACAACTTGGTTGGTGTAATACATGGTCAAAAAACCGTGGTTTCTCTTTGAACATGATCCCACATGAACGGCATCATGCCCATTGTCCTGTGATCATCTGCTCGCATGGGATCCACGGCTTCTTTACATGCGCACCTCTCTGTACCCTTCTGGATTGTTCTTGTACGATCGGTCGGTGCTTCAATTGGTTTTGCAATATCATAGGTGCTCGACAA